AACTTCACCGATAGATTTGTGTTTGCAACCAAACGAGGTCGTTTATTTATCTATTCTTTTAGCAAAGTACAAACTAAGAACCCGAGTAAATTAATGTTAAAAAATATTTAAAAATATTCATCAAATTGTAGGGGGGGAAAAAAACCCTGAAAATACATGAGAAATCTTCTTTTAAATCAACGTTCCTCCTAATTTAGAACTCGCTCTAAACGTATATGTTATCTAATCTTCCACGTTCGAAATTTTTCTTTTTTATCTGGAGTGTTGAACAAATATGGAAAGAGGTAATTGTATTTAATATAATTTTCGTTACCTACACAACATTTTAATTGCAATGACAGTCTCTAATCTTTGTTTATTTTCACACTTTTGTTTTTTGATAAGTGCAATTTGTGCACTTATTTAGGCCATATTATTAAAATTTTAAGTCGTCAAATTATTAATTTCTATCAAATTTGGGATAATTTTCTTTTTGTTTTTAGTGATTGACTCGTTCGAAGCAATTGGAAAAGAAAGAGCGATGAAATTGAATGAAATCGACAATTTTGGGGATCAAAGTCTCGCTATAAAAATTGGAGGATTGAATTGCATTAATTTGAAAGATTGGATGACGTGGAGAAACACAAAGATAAACACAAATTGGACTTGCATTTGGTATCTAATTCAATAATTATTTGGACTTCATAGTTGGAAGCAATTGGAATCCTATTAATACACAAGAAAGTGTGCTGGTCCAATTGATTTCACCAAATATAATTGGGCCTCATAATTATAGATAAAAGGGCAGACCTGCAGTGGAAATAAAAGAGAAGTGGTGGCTGAATTATATAGAGAGACATTACACGCACAAAGTTTCGGTTGGGGGGAGTTTTAGTTGGAATTACAAAAACATTCCTGTGTGTATATATATAGCTTATGTTAAGCATCGGTAACATGTCATTCACTCACCAATAAGTTAATGGCGTGTCATGTCACTAGTGTTTAACATAAGTTAAGTATCAGTACTTAGAAGATCATTTATATATATATATATATATATATATATATATATATGTCATTTAATTCATGAATAAGTTAATGATGGGTCCTATGCATTTAATGATTCACCAATTAAACGCTGTGTCATGTCTCACGTGCAAAGAAGACATTGGACAACAACTAAAGAAATAATTTCATGTTTCTTTGTGCGGTAATTCATCAATGATTAACTTATTGATGAATAAGTTAATGGTAGGTCTCATATATTTAATGATTCACCAATTAAATGGTGTGGCATGTCCCATGTGCAGAGAAGACGTTGGATAGCAACTGAAGAAATAATTTCAAATTTCTTTGTGCGGTAATTCATCAAAGATTTGTGCAAGGAACTTGGATATTATTTGCGTTCCGTCAAATTTTGGTGATGTCTTTCCACTTCTATTTGTTTTATTCCAACATTATGCTAGGCTAATTCTTTTCATGTATTGGATAAAGATGAAACATTTTATTAGTTATTTTTAATTTAAAACAAGTAGCTTAGTTAAATTTTTGCAATTCTTAATTAATTTTGCATGCTAAAATTTATTATTTGATTACTTGATCATCAATTAAATATATGATTGTTTGTTGTAGTGTTGAGATGCTCACAATAGATTTAGAACACTGTTATTAACATGCGAGCAATAAATTTTAGGAATAATATTTATCATGTGTGTAATCTTTGAGATAATTGTGAAATTGAATGCGTTCTATTCATTCGAATTTGGATTAGGAATAAATTTGGGTCGTGACTAGAGTAGATTTAATTTGTCTTAGAAAAGAAAATTAATTATAATAGAATTATTCATTGTCATGAACGTAAGAACGAGACTAGCTACATAATTGAGAAATAGAACAAATAATAATATGTGGATTCGTAGTTCAATACAATCATCTCATACACATATTAAATTCGTATTTTACAAGCTTCCGTAGATTAAGTTAGATTAATTAAAAATCACAAATCACTTTTGTCTACTCACTTTAAATCTAATTAAAGATTAGTACACTCAATTGAATTTTATTCCTCGTGGGATGATACTCCCAATTTATTAAATCTATTACTTGTTAATGATTTTGTACGCTTGCAGGTTTCGCACGAACATTTATAACTTCTTCTTTTTTTTTTTTAAATTGTTATCCTTAGCCTTCAATTAGTTACCACATTTGTTTATGATAATGCTTTCTCTCCGTATGTTATATTAGCGTGCTTTGAAATGATGAACAAACGTTTAGTTGATATAAATTTGTTTGGATGAAAATTATCATCAAATATAAGATGGTGTTAATTAATAGATGGTTGAAAAAAAAAAAAGTAAGGATATAAACAGAAAAATGATTAAATGTAGGGAAATTTCATTACAATTAAAATGTAGTGCCAAAAAAGTTAGTGTGAGCTCTCTTAAGTTCTAGATATTGTCTAAATCAACCTAGAAAGTAGGGGGTTAAACATGATGCTCGAAAATTATCAAAATTTTCTATGATTCTCATCCTGTGTACAATTTCCTTTTTCGCCCTTCAGAATATTAAGTCACTATTTGGCCCCCATTTTCAAAAACTTGTTTTTCTTTAAATTCACCTTCAAGCATAGATTCCATGAAATTCACAATTTTTATCAACTTTTCAATCACATATTTCTTTAACTTTATCAAAATTTATTAAAAATTTAATTTTTATCGAAAACCAAACTGGAGCTAGGACACTTAGAAGAATATCAATTTGTTTGTTAGACTATCTTTCTTTCTTTTCTTTTTCTTTTTTTTTCTTCTTTCAATCACCCCCACCCATGGTGGAGGAATACCACGGAAACAAAACCAACAAAACAATCATAAGAACCAAATAGCCACAAAGGCACTAACCAAGCAAATAAAATTGACACATCAACCTCACTACTTTTGCCCAATGTTGGGAAAACCAAGTTTATCCATACGAACAATACCTTTTAACAATTTGATATTTGATGTAGATGTATGTACCTCATCATGAAACCATCCGCCCCTTGTCGGGCTAGAAGGTCTGCTGCTCTATTTGCTTCTCTATACTGATAAGAAACTTAGAGAGGTGTATTTAATCGAAACTTTTAAAGACTTTTAGAGATTTAAAAAGTTTGGGTATATTTAATTGAAACTTTTAGAGACTCTCTAAAAGTTTGGGTGTATTCAATAAAGACTTTTATAGACTTTTAAAAAATCTCCATAAGTTACGGGGTATTCAATTGAAACTTTTTAGAAGTCTCTACAAGTTTTGGGGTATTCAATTTAGAGGGACTTTTAGAGAATTTAAAATTTCTTGGACTTTTAGAGACTTTTTAATAGAAAATATAAATAGGATTTTTCTCCCAAAATCTCTCATCCATAGAGAGATTTCTAAAAAGAGTATGCTATTCTTTCCCTCTAGGTTTTTCCTCTATCTCTTCCAATTAGGTATTTCTTTGAATCTTTGCTATGAGTTTTCTTCAAATCAGGTTATGGTAAATTTTCATTAGTTGATCTCTATCTCTCCCTCTAATTTCAAAGATTCGTTTTTAAGTGAATGTTGTGAATTCTCATAAATATTCCTCGATATCTCACATTTAACACTGTGAAAAGCATATTTCCTTAATAAAAAAAAATTCCTCAAAAGTCTTTAAAAGTCTTTAGTAAAAGTCTCCACAAATCCAGGAAAAACTTTTACTAATTCCTACCAAATCCATAGAAGTTACTTAAAATTTCACAAAGTCCACAAAAGTCACCAACTTAAAAAAGTCTCCAAAAGTTTTTAAAAATCCCAATTGAATACACCCCCCTTAATCTATTTTTCTGCAAACATTTTCTAGATTGTCAAGGTACCATGGGTTGTTTTATGACTACCAGGCAAAGCTAAAGTTTGTAAAGGTATTAATTAGTTACAAAATTTATCAATAAGTCAGATTAATTACGCTTTAGAATGCGAAATAAATTATGCAAGACCATAAATTAGATAAAGCATAAGAACATCATATTTAAGGTAGTAGAACTAACCAAAAAGAATGTACAAAGAAACAATAGTTAAAATCTTTAATGTTTTGGCTCTACAAAATCTCAATTCAATACCCAAAAATTTATAACAAACACAAATGAAATTATGAGAACCAAAAACTCATTATTTATATCTTAACAGCTTGCTTGAAATGGAACGACCCTACTATTACTTCGAATTGAAATCATCCCAACTAAAACATCGCTTCACGACCACAGACTTGGACAATGACACGCATTTATTCTTATCACCACCCCGTCTTGCTGATATATTCTGGTAGATCCACTGGTTTGTTATCTTCAGGTAGCACCCTTATCACAGGTCAATTCCAACTCGAGCACTAAAATTGGCCAGATCACGAAAAGTCGGGATTGCTCTCAAGTATTTGTAAATTCAAATTGCTTAGGACAAGCAAGAAACTTTACCTTGAAATATTCAACATGTGAGTGATTAGGGATTTCAACCCTAAATAGAAACACTCTTTCGGTTTTCTGGATTAAGCCATATATAAACTAAGTGCTTCTGTAAAAATTAGGTTCCCCCAACGAATGTCGAGCTATGTATATATATTAGACTGTTAGGTCTTTGGAATCCAATGGTATCAAACTCAAATTTTATAGAAGTGTATATATGATAGATATATAAAGATATCAACACAATAACGTAAAGATTGTTTTTTGAAGTATCATCTTATTGTGAACTTATCATTAATTAAAACTTTCCATGGTACAAAGATTGCTATGTATAAGATATGAAAACATAATTTTAAGCAAGCATCAACAAGGTAATTTTTTGTGTACCCAGCAAACAATATTTTCTAAATTATTTTGAAAGAATCAATATATAAATTTCAAGAACAAAATATTTCGTATCGTGAAGTTTTCCTAACTATTTCCATGACACATGTTTTCAAGTCGACTTTTAATAAACAAATGCTTTAAAAATCAGTCAGCTCTAAGGTATAAAGGTCATATAAAGTCTCATACTTTAGAGAGTGAATAAAATGATTTTAAAAAATAATTAATGCATTATTTTTCTTCACACACACACACACATGCAAAAATCTGGAATTTAGATTTTACTGAAAAGATATCCCACATTTGACTGTCAAAATTTCTTTGAATGTGGAATGATAATGCATTAATGCTCTTCTGCTTCTGTAAACGATCCACTTTTGTATTCACATATACTCCTTTTTCCATCTTTTTCTTCTAAGAGAACTACTGCCCAGTATAGATCACTTGCATCAGTTTGCAAAAATATCTTCTGAACAGTAGGAATGGACAAAGCTGGTAATCCTTGTACATGTTCTTAATTTTTCGAACTGCTTCCGTTTGTTTTGAAGACCGTGGTGTTGCATTCTTCTTCAGCATGTTTTGCAGTGGCTTAATAACAGGAGATAGACGATCGACAAAATTTGCCATGTAGTTCTCGATTCCAAGAAATTGTTGAACTTCCTTTTTAGAGAGGTCTGTGTTTGGAAACTTTAATGATTCCTGACCAACATGTGGTTGTAAAGAATACTGACCATCTTTAATATGCATTTTCAAGAAATCAATTTCAGATACTCCAATGTCCATTTTCTTCTAGAAAAGCATAACTCCAAATTGTTTTGTCACATCAGCAAACTGTGACAACAACTGATGGTGAGCATCTGCATTGTTTGAAAATAAGATAATATCATCAATATAAATTAATGCTGGGTCCAATATCGGATGATAAATTCTTGTTATGGCCTTTTGAAACAATGAAGGGGTCGTTTTAAGACCAAGTGACATTATTGTCCACTGGTAGTGATGGTTTGGGATACAACATTTCGTCTTGTATCTTTCTTCTTCCTTGGTCCCAGTTGCCAAAATCCTGCTTTTAGATCAAATTTCGAAAATATCTTTACTTCAGATAAACTAGCAAATAAGCTCCTTTTGCTTGGAAGAGGAAATTTATCCTCAGCAAGGAAATGATTCAGAGGCTTATAGTCAATTACAAGTCTCATCTTTCCACGAACTTGTTCACTTCTTTTATTGACATAAAAAGCTTGGCATGCCCATTGGGAAGTTATCTAAATACCCAAAGCAGGTTGTTGACTTGGACTACTAGTTTGAGGCATCTCATTTAATGGTGGAGGCATCATTTCCTTGTAGCAGTTATATAACCTGTGAAGTGAATTTTCTACTTTTGCTAACATCTTCTTAGCAATTTCTTCATTATACATTATTTAAAAGCCAATTTTGAGCAATTCCAACTTGCATCTTCGGTCAAGAACTGTTGTTATGAATAACAAATCATTAAACTTTTCATGATTGCCCCAATACTTATCATGTTTTCTTCGCATGCTAATAGCCATTTTTCGTATCAAACTATTGGAATCCTTAGCTAATTCATTTGACTCCTCATGAATTTCACCAAGCTTTTGAAAAAAAGTGTTAGATGTTACATATAAAAGGCCACTAACTTTCAATGTCATATCATAGAATGTTTTAAGAAACTTTACAAAATTTTGTGCTTGATCCCAATCGAATGGAGTGGGTGAACCACTTCTTTCATCGCCTCTTCTCTCTTCATCAAAGTACTTTATGTAATTTGCATCACTTTTTAAAGCACCAAATGCTTTTCTAAATCATTGCAAACATCAAGTATGTAGAAATCCATGTAGTAGTCACATCCAAACACAACAAAGCTCGAGACTCGATGTTAACCTCCTTATAAACTCTCCCTAAAACTTTTCAATCGTGCTGGGAAAGACCTAGTAAACCTCACATCATTGCGAATTGACGAAATAGAACTACTAATTTCTTTTAGACCATCACTAATAATGAGATTGAGAATATGGGCACAACATCTCATATGAAGCATTTCTCCATCAAGAATTAGACCATGTTTATTCTCCTGAAAACTCTCTTTCAATTTCTATATTGAACGTCATTAGATGATGCATTATCGATAGTCACACAAAAAGTCTTTTTAATTCCTCAATCATGAAGACAAGAAATCAACTCCTTAGCAACCATATTACCCTTATGACTGGGAACTTGAATGAAGCTTATAATACGTTTTTGAAAGATCCAATCATCATCAACTCAATGAGCAGTCAAACACATGTAACTAATATTTTGGATCGATGTCCAACAATCAGTAGTTAAACAAACCCTATGACGACTCAATTCTTTTTTCAGTTTCTTCTTTTCATCAAGGAACAATTGATATATATCTTTTGCTACTGTAACTCTTGAAGGAAATTCAAATGTTGGAAAAAAAATACTTGTATATAATTGAAAACCTTCATCTTGCACATGACTAAATGATAACTCTGCCAACAAGATGTACTTATCAATCATTTTTCTAGTCCCTTTTTTAGTGAACTTAACAACTTATCCAAAACTAGTAATGTCTTTTAAAACATCATTTTTAGATTTAGTGTAACAACTCATAGTTTTTTGCTTTTTATCTGGAACCCTATATGGATATTTCTTACATAAGCACTCAATATGGTTTCACAATGTACTAGTCCCTGCATTTTTGTTGCCATACTTGTAAAGTTGCCCATAGTAATTACACTCTGCCTTTTCATCATGCAGTTTAAAATGATCTCAAACATTAGATCTTTCACCTCCCTTTTTTCCCTTAGTGGAATCTGCATGTTGATCAACTTCTACACTATTAACGGCTGCATTTGGCTCAAGATAATTTTCTTCTTCAAAAAGGTCAACATGATCCATATTTGTAATTCTAACAATAGCATATTAAATTATAGATAGCATTAACATGTAAATCTAGCACTCGATCACAAAAAAAAAAAAAAAAAGAAAGAGAAAAAGAAGAAGTAAATTGCAATCATCCAATTCACAAAAATTGCAATTTAATTCCACAACAATCATCCAATCTAGTACATTTAATTCTTTAGGAAGTGATGTTAAAGAAAATATAAAGAGGTAAACACTCCATAGTCCATACGGGAGAGAATAAATAAACATAAGGGATGACCATCAAATGGAAACATACCATGATACCAATAATAAAATCTCATTTAGTTCTAATCAACCCAACTGACCTAAGCATTTCTTCACCAACAACAAAGAATGAATAGGAAAAAAGCCATTACCTAGGCGATTGGCGAGGGCAACTCCAATCTCCAAGAGCCGGGAACAAGGGTTGCAATCTGATTTCAAATGGGAGGAAATGCGTATGGGTGCTGGGTGTCGACAATTATATGAGAGACGACGACACTTGAGGCTTGAGAGATGGCGTTGGCGACAGAGAGAAAGAGTTAGAGAGACTTGGAAATTGGAATTACGTTTACTGGTTTAGGCCTTTAGGGTTGTGTCTCATGACCAGTTGCCGATTTGTTTTGGGTTTTTTTTTTCTTTTTTATTTTTTAAAAGCGGTCGGGTCGGGTCGGGTTGGGTTTATGTGTTATTTACGGGCTTACAGCCCACTTAAAGACTTAAAATTTCAAAAAAAAAATTCAATTTTTAAAATTTTTTTTTCGCTGGTCCGATTTGTTTTAAATCGAAATTAAAATTCTCAAACCTAAATCAAATCATTTTGGTTCAAAACCATTTCGTTGACCGGTTCCGCATAGCACCAAATCGATGGTTTTTAAAATGCAGTTTCGATTCGATTTTTCGGTTTGACGGTTTTTGCTTACAACCCTACCCCTAAGTTCTTGACCTATCAAAAATAAATAATAATTATTTCTGACCATGAAACTTAATTATTTGGAGTTACCATGAGTCAAAAGTCTTCAATACAAAGAATTTGGAAGCCTTTGAGATTAGTGGGGTTAAAGTCTTAATGTTCAACAACTTTTTTACTTTTCTGATTCCTAACTTTCTCGAAGTATAGTTATAAGTTGTAATAGTCAAAACGGAAATTGTATTTACAATTACTTATTACACTTGTTGCATTGCATGCCATTAGAAAAATGTGAAAAAAAAAAAAAAAAAAAGTAATATCAGCCCGACGAAGTGGATGATTGTCTCGTACTGAAATTTAACTAGCTACTCCACTCGATATGTTAATTTTTAAACTTTAATTTCATTTCTCTACAAATTGTGTGTAATTTCAATTCTCTACAAATTGTGTACGTTCCCTATTTATTAATTACTGGATAATTTGATTAGTTTCAACATTTCATTGGGTCTATATAACGGACCTAATGGATTAAGAAAAAAGGATTTTAAAAGAAAAAGGAAATTGATGTGGTCAGCATCAAATTTATTAAAAGTAAGGTTAACTTTTTTTTATTGCTGACTATTTTTGCTGCCTCACTTCTGGACCACGTTATGATGAATTTAACATTAGTTCGGCCATGTGAATGGTAGGTTGAATATATTCCTCTTTATGAGTATTTCATCATCTAAAAAATGTTTGATTTAAATTTTTATCATCTAACAAAAATGTTGTTGATATATGGAATTTGGTTCTTTTCAATAAAACAATCAAATAAGTGATGACATTAACTCAAAATGGATTGAGAAAAGAGAGAATTGTGACTTTGTATAAAGAATCTTTGGGTATTCTCTATATCACTTTCCAAAGTATATTTTAGCTTCATTAAGCGAAAGATTTGTGGTATTGAAAATGTGTTCAATATTTGTATCGTTGTCAATCACGTGTAGAGTTTATTGTTGCATCGAGTAATGGATTGAATTGATATTTACCGATTTAAAATATGAAAAAACAATCAGGAAATAAATTTAACCAACAATTTTGACCCTTCCACAATGAACACAAATTCTCTTACGTTAGTTTCAAATCCAAAGTTCCCCCGTTTAAACTGAGAGGGAATATTTTAACGTATTTTTTTATAATTAATAGGCATGTTTTCTTTTTAAATAACAAGTGTTTATTAGAAAAGGGAATTTCAAAATGGGGAATTTACAAAAATGTCACTTTTTTTGAAAATGTACAAAAAACTTTGATGTGCACATAATTTGTACAAAAATGTCACTTTCTTGTTGTGAAATGTTTAAATTACCCTTAATTTGACCTTTTTTGGAGCATTTAATGCTATTTCATGATTTTTTTCAAAATAATTAATGTTGTGATTTGATTGTTTAATTTGTATATTATAATCATTGAATATATAAATATTATATTGTAAAATACAAATTTAGTTAATAAAAAATGAATATAAAATCCTTAAAAACCCTAGTTAACATAAAAAAAAAAAAAGAATTCTTGTTAAATAAACCCTCATTTCATTCATCTTCTTCATCTATTTTCTTCTTGATCAAGAAGATATTATTTCATCCATCTTCTTTATCTATTTTGAAAGGTCAATTATTACAAATTGTTTATATTTTTATATAATAGTTTACTCTTTTTAAAATGTTAAACACAACATGATAACCACTACTATTAATCATCATGTTCTTTTTTTTTTTAATATTTTTGAAGGAAAAACATACCAAAAATATTTAGGGAAATGTGAAGTATTTCATATTTTATGAAGCATTCAGTCATTTATTTTTGGAAATAGGTTGTGATGTTGTAGTTGTTGAAGTTGAGAAATGATTATAACCATTAATACTACCAAACACATTTGAAACTTCTCGACAGTTGAGAAATGATTATAACTATTAATGTTACCAAACACATTTGTAGTTGAGAAATGATTATAATTCATATGCATATTACGGATACAGAAAATTTGCCAGTAAACCTCGATGTTATTTCTAAACGCACATGTAATGTCATCAGTGCCCAGAGTTATGTGTCGAGACACTGTCGCCGAAACCTGTATTGACAGATGACTGCACTCGTTTGGCAGGACAGTGTCATCTGTCGAGAATACCTGCAGCTAACTGTCGGGAACGACAATTCATCTGTTGGGATTCACCCAACTGTCGAGAAATATTGTAGCCATCTGTCGGGGTTCGTTCTCTCTTTCTTTCCTTTTCACAATTGACGGCTTTTTTTTTCTTTTCCAAGATTTGATATGACACTTACACAATTATCAAAAAGGGATATGCAAGGTATTCAAGTTCTTTTGAAGGGTAAAAATGAACAAATATGATACTTTTGTAAAGAGTTTTAAAAGATGATATTTTTGTAAATGACAACTAAAAAAATGACATGGGATGTAATTTCCACTTTCAAAATCTAGTTGAGGCAACTGCCTCCAAGGGTGGACCATGACAAGGAAGATTGTTCTCTCATTTAACAAAGTCTATACGTCTCTTTGTATGTCGATGGATAGACAATCGACAACATTTTTTGGCTGCCCGAAGTTGTCACTCTTAATGGAAAGGAGGGTGTGACAGTGCTTTTTGTTAAGCCTCAAGGCTAATTTACTCACTTTTGGATGAATAAGAGTCACTATTCTCTCTCTCTATCGAAAGAATCTTAATCAAGTTAAGAATATTTATTTATCTCCCGAAAGAGTAAATAATTAAGAATTTAAATTGCATCGAGCTTCAAAACAACTTAAGGCAATGTGATGGGACGATAAATAAAAAATAGAATAAAATCATGAGCCCCATATTTTAGCTTTTTGCCATTTGTAGCAAATGCAAACGCTCTATACTACGCATCTCTTCTAACTCTTCCTCCTTTACAAGTGCAAGCAATGCACAAAATAAAACAAACGACTTCGCAAACATTCCAACCACTGCATTTATTTCTCAAATTCATGTATTTTAATATATGACTCACCGAAGGCAATTATAATTTCACTCCCTTTCAATTACATCACTCCCTTTCAATTACATTTTTCTCTTGTTCTTCCCATTCAGTTTATTTTGCACACACAATTATAATTTACAAAGATGGTTGGACGAACATTTTATCAAAACTGTGTGCATTCTGACGCTTGGGAGAAGAAGGATTCGTTGTTATTGTCAGACGGCGAGGATGATCCCTTTCTATTAATGGAAGAGATGAGACGAGGTGGATCTCTTCTGTCGAATAACAAAGGATCATCTTCGTCGTCCAATGATGACAAAAATAAACCTTCTTATCTCAAGCATCAGAAGGCACACTCTTTCTCACACACGCTAACAAACACATCGTGAAACAATTCCCCGTGGTGTAGGTTTCTTAGCCAATCTCTGCAGATGAATTTTTTGTGGTTCTTTGTTTGATCGGTTTCGATATTAGTAGATTTGTTGGTGTATTGTATGTTTTAATTTGGCGAGCTAGCTTCTTATATCTTTGTTCTTTGCAGTTCAACTCAATTGACTTGATGTATTCTTTTGTTAGTTGAACTAACTATTTGCCACGATTTTACGTAATGAAATGATAGAGATTATTGATTAAAATAATTAAAAAGTTAAGAGTGGTGGTAAATCTTCATTGATATATCTGCGTTTGCAACCAGACGAGGTCATTTATCTATCTATGTTCTTTCTGCAAACTAAGTTGTTTTTGAATTAATTACAATGTATTGCTAATGTAAATACTCGTAAACTAATATAAATGATGTTTCAAAATATTCATCAAACAAAAAAAATTCTGAAAATATGTGATAATCTTATTACAAACTGATATTCGTCTTAAATTAACACTCACTCTAAAAATATGTTATGTAAATCTTCCCCGTTAATGATTTTTTTTCATTATCTCGTGAGTGGTGCAAATTGTTGTTTGCCTTTTCTCCCCCGATTCTATAAAAAAAATTTCTATTAACCATTTGTTAAAGACGGATGATATCTCACTGAAATATAGTTAGTGTAAGATAATTTTTACACAATCATATTCTTGTGAAGTTTGTAGATACGTGCACTTTTCTTATCTTTGTTATAAGAAATTTTGTGGAAAGGGGTGATTGTACTTAAATCATAGTTTTTCTCAACTACACTATATTTTAAGGAAAAAGCCTAATGTACAGGCCTGTACAAGCCCCCTCACATGAAAAAGCCTAATGTACAGGCCTGTACAAGCCCCCTCACATAGCATGTGAGGGGGGTGGGCGTGGGGGATTATTTAAAAAAAAAAAAAAAATTATCAACTCCCCTTGTAATGTGTCTGGCCTGTACAGGCCCTGTGACAGCCAGCATGTTCCATATTTTAATCACAACAAAAATATCCAATCTTCGTGTATTTTCTCGAAGGTTGAACCCCAATTTTGAGGGCTCTCACCGTCCCGTCCTTAGAATTTTGTGAGGGAGGTAAATCGCGAGATGTGCCCCCAACAGGTTAGGGAACAAGAGTTGCATGGAAACTACGCCTACAAGGAGTCCAATTCTATGTCTCAGAAATCGAACCCCTACACTGCGACTGTCAGCAAGACGTGAGATAACCTTACACCTGTCCTTTGCACCGCTGGATTATACCCCGAGGGCATCTTTGTGCATTTTCTCACTTGTGTCTAAATTTG